GCACATAAAAACTAATCAGAAAATGTTTAAAGAGTAAATGAACCAGAGTTTCTCCCTCCTCATTCTGCAAGTCGCAGAATAATCCTGTAATCTGTCAGCATCACTCCCATAGCCCCTCCACCTCACCCAACACAATTCCTTTCTTCATTCAGACACTTCGCTTTCCCTTCCCACCTTTATCATGTCTCCTCAGTCAATAGATCTTTATGATATGAGTACTATGGATTCTGGTTAGCCAACATATCTGAAAATGGACACTGTCAATTAGTACTATGGAAAGAAAAATGTAAAATACACATTTTGAAAACTCTTGTGAAAGGTAAAAACACTGATTCCCTCAGAAAACATAGTACATAGAGACAAGGAGACAAAGAAACTTCAGGTATCATTACAAATTGTTCTGTTACCACTTTAACAATGTCTTGTTGTCTGTCTTGGACTCATTCATTCAATAAGTATTTGTTTATTACCTACAATGTATTAGGTATTGTGAAAGTTCTTTAAGTCAGCTAACCACAGCTTAGTTAACTGAATCAATTTATTGCTTAGCAATTATTTATCAATCTCTTATTTTTAATGACTATACTATTGATTTAACCTATGAACAGTTAAACATATAGATGCCCAGGTACAGCCTATTTCTAATATTATAGATCCCTGGATGATGAACAATGTATTAATGGAGGGAAAGAAAAGAACAAACTGAGGAAGCGGGAAAAAGATAGAAAAAAAATAACAAAAGCCAACCTTAATATTGAGTACTTACCCTGTGTCAAGTGTTATGTTAAGTTCTTAAGATGTATTGTCTCCTTTCATCCTCAAAACCCTCTGAAATTTTCCCTTCATTTTAAAGACAAAGAAAGTAAAGCCCAGAGAGATAAGTAACTTGCCACTGATCAACAATTATTAAGATGGAGGTGGGATCTGAACCTCGGCAAGCTGATTCCAGAGTCACAACCTACTCTTCCTCTGTAGTGGTAAAAAGACAGGACTGAAAGGTGAGGATGATGGGAAGCTAAAGTTACGTGCATCTCATTTTACTTATGCTTCTAGTCCATTGTGTTTCTTTTTTCAAATTAAACACTCGTTTGTAAACAATTCAGAAGGGAACCCTGAAATACATCGGGCACTGGATTTAATCCCTAGCATACTAAGAGTTCACATGTGCTCCAAGACCACATGTTAGGCATTGAACACAGGGATAAAATGATGGTCCCAGGAGGAAGAGGAAAAGAAGATAAAGGAGCTCCTTTCTTTTACCAGGAGCTTCCAAATCTCAGTCCACTTTTCAACTAAGGTATTGTTGACACTGGATGAAAATTAAGAATAAAATTTATATTGGAATGTTTGCCTGTTTAGATAAACAGGTGCTCACAATAACGGTATCAGAGAAAAATCAGAGACCTGAATAATCAGTGCAACATTTAGCTTCCAGAAGCCTTGGAGAGACAATCCTAAAGCATGGAAAACAAAGCTGTATTTCTGTTAGACACGAATGTGTATTCAAGAGTGGTCTACATTTCTATATAAATCTCCAGACACAGGAAAATGGGGTTATCAATGTCCTTGGCACTACTGATAGGCCATTCAAAGCTAAGGCAGATGATACTTAGGGTTTTCTAGCTTATTATACTTTTAGAAAATATTCATGAATAAGACAGTTATTCAAAAAACAAAACAGCCAATGGGAATATACTGTACAGCACAGGGAACTCTACCTAATGCACTGTGGTAACCTAAATGGGAGGGCAGTTCAAAAGGGAGGGGATATCTACATGTGTATGGCTGATTCATTTTGTTGTGCAGTGGAGGCTAACATTAACATAGTAAAGCAATCACACTCCAATAAAATTAATTAAAGAAATAGCCAGATTCAGAATCATCTATTTTTCTCATGCTTCTGTGTCATATAATGACTGAAACCATCTCATTCATGAGAAAAGTTGACAAAAGTTGAAGATGAAATGATTCAGAAACAACCAGATCCTCTTGTATTAAAGAAAATCTAATGTGACTCACACTATAATCAATAAAATGACATTTGAAAACCTAACTTTCAGTTTTTGTTTTGATTAAAAAATGAGAGAGTCAGAAATTCTAGAGTGTAAATACGCTCCCAGTAACTTAAGAGTTGATCATTCTGAAGTCTTGATTGCCAGAGAAAACTTTTTCTTGATTTTCAGCAGAGCCCGAACTGGTATCCAAGAATAAACCTCAATATTGAACTGACCTTTTCAAAGCAGAAGCATTTGAAATAGATATCTGAACAATGCAAACTATAATCTTTTAAAGGTACAGTCTCCTGACAATCAAGAAAGAAACTAAGATCACAGTTCTGTCTTCTAAACAATATGCTATATGTGACTAGTCCTATCTATTTTTTTTTGGAACATATAACTTGACCCCACTTAGTTTTTTGTCCTTTATTTTTGTTTTGTTGTTTTTTTAACTGACCCACCATTTTGTTCCTGCTCAAGTCTTCTGCCACCTGAAAATTATGTTATGTTTTGAAAACTGTACTCAGTCAATCATCCTCAAAATGAATCCCGAGCCTTTTTCTAATAATTTATTCTTCATGGTCCATCAGTGAGTTATAAAAATGAAATGACTGTTTGCACTGTGTTGTCATCTCCCTCACACCCCCCCCCCAAAAAATGAACAAAAAATACTTACAATGGTTCTTAGCCAGGAGCATTTTATCCCTTATTCACTAGTGGTAAATGAGTCAGATATGAGTTGGCCAGGAAAAGAGCTGCTTTACCCAAAATCTTAGTACAAAATGAGTCATCTCACTCCAAACACCAATATATTCTCCAAAATAACTGGCAAGAACTTCCTATAAAAAGAATCTTGCCTTCACCCTTTTCCATCCATTTAGTTCTCTGATTTTTCTAATTTTTCAATTTCCTGTGTACTTATAACACTGCATTCATAACAAAAGCCTAAGAACATTTCTACCTCTTTACCTCATTGTGAAAGCCATCTTTCCTATACTGAGTTGGGGGACAATTCTGATACCATTCCCCTGAAAAGAATAAATGCTCTGTGGCTTTTAAGGGTTCTCCCTGTCTGACTCTCTGTGATGAAATTCATGCATGGTTCAATGGAAATGCAAAAGCCAATTCTAGAAGAATTTTTCTTTTCCTCTGCTGAAAAAGTGAGTTCGAAGCCACCAAAAATATTTCAAGCAAAACCATTTTCCTTCCCATAAGAAAAATCAATCAAAATAGATACAATCTGTCTAAAACTGATAAAGAAACATGAATCCAGGCCACAAGCTTCAACTCTGTTTCCCCGTACATCAAAACATTCCCATTCCCATTCTTTCTCTGCCATCAGATGAAGCTTAAAAATCACGGTGAACTGAAGCCAGGGTCAAGTCCCTATTGATTATCAGGAGTCAAGCACACTATATACCTGAGGATAAAAAAGCATGCTTATAGAGCCAATTCCTGCCAAAGTGCTGCGATTTTTATGTTATGTGGGGCTCACAACAGCACTTATTATTCTTTATTATTCTAAGCCCTGCAACTTAATGGGAAAAATTACTTACAATTCATTTCACTCGGGCTGGAATTTAGCTTCGTTTCTCTATACTAAATGAATTCTAAAGAATAGCTACGCTCCTTTTATATCCAACACTAACAGATGTTAGTTTCCTTGGTTTTACAGCCCTCAAATGACAGACAACTAACTGTATTTGGCCTTGGGAATAACTGCAACACCTTTGGATTATGAACTTGCTTTGGTTCTTAGCTGGGAAAAGCAGGGGGTTAGTTCATATTATCAAAGATGTAAAATAAGTTTACCCTTATGCTCCAGATGTCCACATGAAGATATCTTTTAATACAATATTGTACAACTTTTTTTTTTTTCCTACTGGTAATCTTCTTTTCAAGTGGTTATAGTAAGAAAAAACAATTGCATAAAAATGAAATCTCTTATTCAATGTATCTCCTGCTCTTGACCAAAGCAAGATGTTAAATCCATTAAACTCTGCACACGCAGTAAAAGCAAGAAAAACTAAAACTGTTCAAATTTGTGCATTCTTGGGAAAATTGCCAACCTATGTACTAGTAGCAGGATCTGTGTAATTAATGGTGATGTTATTGACGGAGGGAGTTCGATTTCATTCTCAGAAGCAATTTAAAAGTGCAAGCTGGCAGAGCTTTAGCGAAAGCTCACCTATTCATTTTTAAATTGAAGAAATGTGACTTTGAAGTCATCCACAGAGAGCACCAGTGTCACTGTACATTTGGGGTGGTTTTGGTCATAGTAAACTTAAAAGAAATCCTGAATGTAGCACTGTCTTTTGAACAGCAAAATGTACAAACTGACAAACATTTCTTAAAAGGAGAAAAAGCAAACTCAATCTTAGGTTATCTTTATGTTTTTTTTTTCTTTTCCTGAAAGGTATTCATATGAAGACTAATTAAAATCAACTCCTTCTTATCATAAAGTAAAATAAAATCAGACCCACGTCCACACATTCCTTTATACACACTCCCATCTTCTTGGAAGGTGACTTTCATCTTTATCGAGTAGTTGTACCTCACGGACAGTCATATAAGGCTACCCAACTGACAAGCCATACCTCCAGCTTCTGCTCTCCTTTTTCCCCTCTGTTATATCAGTAACTTCGAAATGATGAGAGAAAGAAAAAGAACATCTTGAAAAATAGAGATAACTAAGGAAAGAAGTTAAGCCCACAAGAAGCTTTCTCCATAATGATCTGTACTAAATTATCCAACGAGGACCATCTATCTTATCACTCTGTTTCTCTGTGAACTGTAACAACATGCTCCACCTCTGTGTTTCTCATGAAGAATGAAACACGTGAATTCCTGACAGCCGACAGCATGTGCTGTGGCATCTGTGGCTTCGCAGAAGTGGAAGTGGAGGAGACTGGAGACGGAGAGCCTAGAGAGAGACTCACAAACGCTAATGAGAGAGCCTGGATGTTACTGACCCTGATGATTCCCCCCATGTTGCATTCATACCTGTTGTCTTCTCGAGCAAAGGGCTGTTCCACATCCACCGTCAGGGAGGCCAGGGCAGAAACGGTCTCCGTCTCCTCTTGCAACTGCACCCCAGCCTGAGCGCAGCCCTTCGGCACACTCACCGTCCTTACCGACTTCCAGTACTTGCCTAAAAAACACAAAGACCCATGCATCATATGTTACAGGAATTTTAGTTCAACAGTGTTAATCAGAAACTCGTATAGGTCCAACGCAGAGTAATTGTTAGGTTAAAATTCACAATGTTATACACAGTTGTAATTTAATTTCTTAACTGTTATGATTAAGTGTTTTTCTCAATCTGGAATGCCAAGTTGTGAAGTGCTCATATTGCCAAGCCTGAGTCTCTCCCTTGCTCAGAAGTTAATAAAGTGAGGAATAATCCACAGTCTAATGAACTCACTATCAGACTGACAGCTGTCTCTGCAACTAGGTAAGCAAACTCTGGGCATCATGCCCTCTGGGTAATCCTCAAGAGACTGGGAGGTAGAAGTCTTATGGAGAAACTGAATGAACCAGTAATGTTAAAAATTGCTACTTGAGCCATTAACTTTTTTTTTTTTTTAATGAGGTTGGAATATTAAAGGAAAAGAAAAGCCCAGAAATGCCAGCATGAATCGAATGGCAACTTTGCCAGAACAATCAGGCTTGTTAGTCCTGGATGTTCTTTCTTTCTCAACCCCAGGGTGTGTACTAGAACAATAATTGATTTAAAACCTTAATATATGCATTGGCTGATGTTGGAGCCCTTCCATAAGTTATACGGATCCAATTATACGGATGTTTCTTTTTTTGAGGCAGGGAAGGAGAATGAGAGGAAAATAGGAGGTAATTTCATGAGAACATGCCAGTGGGATAAATAAGAAAGAGCAGAGTCAACAGCCGTTTTGCAGCCCCTAAGCTATTTTTTTGTGAAGCGATGAATAGCCCCATATCAAAGCAGGAGAGTCTCCCTAGGTGCTGACATGACTCACCAGGTAAGCAGTATCTGGCAGCCTGACCAGTTAAGAGGGAAGCTGGCATGCAAAGTAGCTTACTTCCACCCCACCCCACCCCAAAATTAAAGTTATGCTAGAGTAGAAAAGACAAATGGGTGAATACTGGATGGTGGGGTAAGATAACTCAGTTCTAGACCCAGCTCTGCCACTAACCATCCTATGTTGGCAGGGCTCTTTGGCACTTTATTTCTGCTTCTCAAAAACAGTGGGATGGCCTCAAATTCCTTCCAGCTATAAGTAACATTTTGTGATTGGCCTCTCCTTATCTTACTGCTTCACAAAGGAATGGATGTCATGTTGTGTTAGGGGAGGAGACCCAATCTCCCATCCACTCCCCATGTCGACAGAACCTTCTGGCATAGCTGTCTACTACTACTACTTTACTTGCTGTGATCACCTAGTCTGACCAAAGTCAGAATCATAAAGCTTTTAATTTGGACCAAATGATACCAGTTCTAACTGAATGAACCCACGAAGTAACATTTTTTGAAAGCCAAGGCTGTGCCAGATGTTGAGGACACAAAGATGCTTCCCTGACACCAAGAAATTTATGGTCTAGTTGAGAAAGCCCTTTTAGTTAACAAACAATGACAATTCTGTATGGAGAAGGCCCATGTGATCCTAAGAGGAAATAAGAAGAACATATACTTTTGATGCCAAGAAGGCAAGAGAACACTGGCCAGAAAAAATAACACCTGACCAAGTATTTGAAAGACCATCAGAAGTTAGTCAAGCTGAAACAGAGGAAGATGGTGGTGATGAGGTATCCCTAGAAGAGGAAATAATGCACACAAATGTGCAGATACTTAAGTCTCTGTTGTTCACTGGGGTACAAAGTCCACTGCTAGGCACAAGTGGAATGTAGGCAGTATGGAATGTAATGCAAGAGACTGCTATGGTGTAGGCATGGGCTAATTAACACACAATCTTGAATAGCATGCCAGTGATCGTGGCTTTCAACCTGTGGGTGATGAGGGGCCATTTTAAACAGAAGAGGCAGAGAATCAGGTTTAAATTTTTCAAAGATCCTTCTGGAGAGATTACGGATGATGGATTAGTAGGTGGTGAGAGTGGTGGCAAGAAAACCAATTTCACCTCCTGGCAAAAATCCAGGCAGGAAATGATGATGTCTAAACTAAAAGTAAGTGACAGAATAGAAATGAAGAGATGGACTAAAGAGAGGTTTAGGAGGTGAGCAATGGAAATGCGTCTTGTCTTATTCTTTAATAGCCTCCTACCTCTCTCAGCTTTGAAAGATAACTCTGAATTGACAGTTCCATTCCAAGACCCTAATTTCTCTATATCACAATGTCATTATTATCTTACCCAAGTTGAAAATGTCATATTCTGTCTGTAAGTGCCTTCAGATGTAATGAGTTTCACAAAGTATTATTATTAATTGTTATTTTAGCACGTGATATTCACAGAGCAGGTGATTCTAGAAGTCACATTTCCTTTTTCTCTAGAATGACTAATATCAGGCCTCTGACAAACAACAGGTGGTTTTGTGGGTTAAATTATGTTACAAATTACAGGAAAGAGAAACTTGTGTCACTGAGCTTCCAATATGTGCCAAGGACTGTGCTAGGTATTTTCACATTTATAATTTTATTTACTCCTCATGACAACTATGTAGGCAGTGTTAGGTAATTTTTCTCTAAGGTCACATGGCTAAAAAGCAGAGGAGCTGAAATCCTCACCCAGGACTGCCTGACTCCCAAAATGCTTCTTTCTCTGTCCTCCTTTATTTAGTCCTTCTCTACCACCCTCCCACTACCCCTAAAAATACAAAAATAGATTCAATATAGGAAAATCTCAACTTAAAAGAATTATGCACATGGCAAAACAATTATATATATATATATTCTTCCCTTTACCAAAGAAATCGTCTTTGGTAACAACAAATTACCCTTGCTCCTTAGACTGTGACTCAGCTTATCTACCTTTTACTGACTTTATGGCATGGGTTTATTGCACCTAGTGAGACAACCATGTTGAGACTAGTTCTTTCTACTCTTTATTTCTCATTACCTTCATTTCTCATAGTCTATTGCAAGTACCTCGTTGCTTCACTGATGAAGCTACCATGAAACTGGAGACAAATGCTCATTGAAGAGTATCCCTTTTTAAAGTGATGTGTTTCTCACCACCTAGCTGAAGGCACCATTAGGCACAGTGCTCTTTGAACCTGTGGAGCCTACCCCAAGTTTCTGAAGCCTGTAGGGTTGTCCATCACAGACTTGTATTGCTAGAGGTCCTATAGTCCACATGGATCGCTTTCTTTAAGCCAGGTTTCTAACTGAGAAGAGAATCAGAGGCCCGTTTCATGCAATTACAGCCAAGAGTTGCCCAGAGTCACCAGAGTATCTTTTGACCAAGCTACCCGTGCAAAATTTTTCTCTGAGTATTTCGGGCTCTAAAGGGAGCCCTGAGAGTTGAGATTTATAAATTGGGACCCCATACTAGACCCAGAGAAATCATCTGGATCACTCTGGAGCACAGTGTCCACATTTATAAAATGATAGTGGTGGGACTGATGATAGGGAAAGGTCTCTTCCTGCTCTAATTCTCAATGATTGTTATTCTTCTGATGTCATATATCACTCTTGGATATTAGAATAAATTTGTTATGGCAGAAACTCTTAGTTTTCTGTGAGCCTATGAACACTTGAAGAGGTCAGTGGACTACTTACTTTTAGATAATATGGCACATCTAGAATAACCAAGAGCTTCAATTTTCAAGAATTATACTTCTTCCTCAAGAAACATCTTTACTCCTCAAACACAATCAGGACAGAAGGACAATCATTAATAAGAATCATTCAGCAGAATGACTGACAATGATCCTTCAAAGTTTAGCCTTTATGCATGTGAGTAGTGAGACGGATTTTAAATAGCTGAGACCTTTTCAATAAAATTTAATGTGTATAAAATATCCTGCTAAGATTAAATGTTAGAAGTTGGTTTTTATCCAACTGTATGAGGTTCTTCACTCAGAAATAACCCCAAACTTTAAATTCAACATGGCTTTTAGCAAAGCCTATACAAACTAGGGAAATATTCTACATTAATAATGCATTTATAGGCCACTATCTCTATTTGTAAAGAAGAATAATTAAAATGGAAGTAGGTATAGCAAGACTGTGCAATATGCAGCCAATTCAAACCCTACAGTTTATGGGTTATATTTTCATGTGATGGATATATTTTTTCCCCCTACAGAAACATATGTGCAAGAAAAATCCTATCTGTTGGCATGAGAATAATAGCCCCATTAGCAAGTTAGACAAATGAAGTAAGGTGTACTGCCAGCGTTTTCAGGAGCTGCTATTCTTAACGTAGAATACTAGTAACCAGCCACCACTGTGTTGCTCTCCTAAGGCAATAAAGCTGGCAGAAGAGAGGGGTTTTCCATTAAAACTGGACACACACACTCCCTCTTTGATCATATGCTCTATCTTTATTCATTTTCCCCATTGCATAAATCTTCCCACTTCTCAGCACTTTGTGGGGGGAATTATTTGGCTTTCATTGTTCTGCATTTGTATTTTGTCTTGTAGAGGTGAAGCAAAGAATGAATCTAAAATAAAGGTAAAAACTAGATAACGGAATGTAGACATTCAAGAGTTAGAAGTGGGGGACACAGGTGGAGTGTCACTGGGTCAGATAGGAGCCATGAGAGGACATGTTGCAGGTACTGTGTAATCAGACTTCAGCATAAACCAGGTTTTTCTTGATAATGATCAATTTGGAAAACGAGGTACTTGTTGACACATGAAGGTCTGTGTTAGCAATAACCTATCCACCAAACGTTTTCCCAACCAAAGCCCTTTGAGACTCTGAAAACCTCCTGACCCCACAACCTCTCCCTTCCATCATTGTTGGGAGCCTTGGAGTCACTTCTCAAATTTGTTCTTGCAGCTTGAATGATGTCCTCTTTTGTCATTATGTATCATGTTCCCTCCTATGGAAAAGAAGCTGGCGCTGACCGAAACTTCTTCCTATCCCTTCAACCTTAGAGATGATTAACACCTGTGGGACGTACAAGGGGCCTATGTTCATGGATTCTCCAGAGCTCAGAGCTTGTTAGCTCTTTTTAAAGAGAAATTCTTTCCTGCATTTTTCCTGTCTA